GGAACTTTGATTGTACGCCGCAACATGCTCGGGGCTAACAGCAGCAGACCTTGACCCCGTGTACATACACAGGGAGAGAGAGAGAGAGGGAGAGAGAGAGAGAGAGAGAGGGAGAGAGAAGCTTAGGGAGGGAGAGGTGACCGTTCCGCGGTGTGCACTCGGCCAGTGCAAATAGGGAAAAGGATGGAACACTGTTGGGGCGGCTGGGCCCCGGGCCGGGCGGCGGTACTCGGCCCAGCCGCGCGCGCACCCGTGCCGAGCAGTCCGAGTTGGCCTAGCGGCAAGCAGACGAGACCCCATTACCTCACCTTCCGGGCTACACTCGCTCGGCGTCCGCGGGTATTCCTCGTCCACTGTGAAAATCATCGTCGTAAGTTTACGACATATTTTGTAAATTCGACTTACAAAAAATGTTGCAAATTTAAGACAGACCATTCTTGTTCGTCAATAATTTTAAGTCGATGCGGGGTGCTTGTAATTTTACAATTTTACTAAATGTCAGAGTTGATTGCAATCAAGTCATGATTTTCAAATCGAATATTTCGTGTGGCAGAATGGCAGCATAAGTTTGACATTGGTCACTTTCGAATGCAGAATTTCGTTCTAGATAAGGCCTTCAATCCTGCTTTCTTTCTTCCAATTGAGCGAGGTAGTAACACGAGTGGACGTCGTTCGCGTGCGGATGGAAGATGATTTGTTTTCAACAACCAGAGCACAGTATATAAGATTAAATATTTAACTTTTTCTTGTTGGAGAAAATACAAACAAAACGTAGCATCCCAACTCCTGTGGACACTGCAGCAGCCTGCAGCCCACCCCGTACTTTCTCTGCGAATAGGTCGCATCACGCGTTCCTCCCATAAAGCGAAAGGTCCAAATGATCGATTTTCGGCGCAAAACTCGGCGCTACGCCAGTCGGGCAATAAGGGCGCGGCACCCATCCCCCGCGCCCCTCCAAAGGCCATTCTTCATTTTCATTGACTGAATATAACGGATGTTCGAATGGTCGTGATCACAATGCAAGGGGCCTGCTCACCCATCCCATTTTACTCCGACCCTCTCTCACTCCCTCCCTCTTCCCCAGCCATGGTCAAAAATAATAATTAGTGTGAGAGAAAGCCCAAATTTACATGTAGGCCATTGTTTGAATATAATCAGTCATAATGTATGTATTTTAACACAATGTCAGTCAGATTACCCAAGCCGGATGTTTAGAGATCTCTAGGTCGAAGCTTTTACTCGCTTACATTTTCTTACATCAGGGACACACAAACCACCAACCGCGACAAAATATGCCCCCGCAGCTGGGTAGGACCCTTCCCCGAGCCTACCTCATCGCAACACCAACAGGTGTCGATGCACACTCGGACAAACTATCTTGAGATAAATACCTCATCACTAATGCAAGCATCCCCACTGAGATGCCTGTTGCACCGTGGTGAAGGGGGTCGGGATAGTGGAGCCCAATTTCACGCCGTTACATATTCTCGCGGGAGCAGGAAGCACCGCCGCCGCCTCCCCTTCGACCACCAGAGACTGCTCTCGCAGGCCGGCAAGAACCACCCCAAACTGGAGCCTACCCGCGTGCTGCAACTGCAGCCGCTCCCTCGCGCCCGCCCACCTCTACCACCCCTCCGGCCCAAAAGTAAGTCACACTGTAAGTTATTCATAAAATCTCCATTTATGCCTCCGTTACTCAGGTGGCATGCAGGCCCCCCTCCCCTCCGCCATTCACGGCCACCATGTGATTTAGTTGCTCCTCGCTGGCATTCATTACCGGCCGGGGACGCGTCCGAATCACACCGCCTTTCCTCTCACAGAGGAGGTTCTGGGAAGCAGTAGGGGAAAGAACGACCTCCCCCTCCCCCCACCCACCCGATCCCCCCCCAAAAAGCAAGGTGATTATTCGCAAGCAGCCCCGCGCGAACAACCGCTACCGCCCACCACCCTCCCCACCACAAACGCTCTGCCCTCGAGCGGGTCGCTGCGCGGCTCCTGAATCCAGACAAACGAATGCATTTCGGGGACGCAGTAAATTTTTTCATGGCGCCCCCGCTCCCTCCCCCACCCCTCTCCTTGTGCTTGCCACCCGCGGTTGCCTTTATGTAGAGGGATATCAGGGCGCTAAGAGAGCAGCGTACACAAGGGCCGCGTAGCTCGGTCACCCTGGCGGTGTTGCGGCGTGGCTGGTACAGTTCACACTAAATTCCTTTGTACTATTTTGTAATGCATAGTTACGAGCTATGCACGTCATGACTAACGTACACAAAATTCTTACGTACGTAAAGACAATTTTCGCATGGCTATACGTAAGAAACACGGAAAAAAAAAGATTCGCTGAGCCAGCTAATATATTGACTGGTATCTGGACAGACAAGCAAATAAACTTCTGTAACCACTATATTGTCTACTCTAATAAATCATTGGCTGTGCCAGTCAAAAATTAGCTGTAAGAGCTCATCCCTTACCTACATCAGTCGAGGTTTACCTTACTGATGCAGGCAAATCATAACTTCATACAACTTATCTTTGACTGGCACAGCCAATGATTGATTAGAGTAGACAATATAGTGGTTACAGAAGTTTATGTGCTTGTCTGTCCAGATACCAGTCAATATATTAGCTGGCTCAGCGAATCTTTTTTTTCCGTGGTTAGGTAAGCTGTGCATGAGCAGACCTACGTGTAGCAAATGAAACTTCATTTCTCTGTGGATGTAGGTTGCGCCATTATCGGAACGGGGCCCTTATTATGAGGAAAACTGGTTGTTTTCACGCTGCCGCTGGGGTCCTCGGTACGTATCTCGTGTCCCGATTGAAAAAACGATCCATTCATAATTCCAGGCTCTTATTTGAAGGAAACGTGATACGTTGGATAACACAGTACGAATCACCTGTAATTGGCATGTTTTTCGGATCGATTGTGCTTACATCATACAACTTTCATTTATTTTTGTATTTGTTTGACTTTTGCAGGGGGCAGAAACTAACAGTCACAGGGGGAAATGGCTTCGTGTGTTACAGGTTGATAGCAAACTGTTATTATGCATGAGATAAAAAAATATTTCTTTTTTTTGACCGTAGGGCTACTAAGAGAACGGCTAGAGATAGAGCAATTTAAACATCACCATCGTGCTCCGCGTCGAAATTTTACCTGGGAAAGTATCCCTAACCCGTCTTAAAACACGCCCTTGGACTCCGCTCACGGAGCACTTCAACTTCCTTCGGCCAGGAGGACAACTTCCGACCGGTACATCCTCCGGTCGGAACATTCTCCGGCAGGAACAACCTCCGGCCGGCGTCTGGACTACGGCCGGAAAGTGTTCCAATTTACGGGCGGAGGAGAGTTACGGACGGAACTAATACGACCGGAAGAGT